ATGACCCCCCCCCCCCCAACCCCAGCAGAGCCATGAGACCTTCCGATGCTCACGGACATAGGTTGTGTAGGCATCAACGCTGAAAGAAGTAGCAACAAAAGCAAATGTGTGTGTATGGGTGTGTGTGCGTGCGTGCGTGCGTGTGTGTGTTTATATACCTACATACCTACCTACACACACACACACATAGAGGCCTACCTACCTACCTACCAACACACACACACACACACACATAGAGGCCTATATATATGCTTATATATATATATACGTAAAAAACTTACATACATGTGTATATATATACATACATAAATACGCATATACATACAAATATACATTATATATATATATATATATATATATATATATATATATATATATATATATATATATATATATATATATATATATATATATATACGTGCAAAATTCATGTAAATATATACATCATACATATATATACAAAAATATAATTATATATACATACATATACATAAACAAAATACACACATGCGTATATAAATATACATATATATATACACACATACATAAGCATATATATACACATACACCTATACATACATGAAAATATATGTATATACATATTCATAGATATACACATACATATACATATAAATATATAAATGTACATATACATATACATATGTATAATATATAAGCATACATATAGATATGCATATATATAAGCATTATGTATATATACCTATATGTAAACATTTATGTATATATACCTATATGTAAACATTTATGTATATATACCTATATATAAACATACATATACAAATACTATACATATAAACATATATACAAATACATATACATAAAAACACATACATACATAAATAAATATCTATATATCTATATATATATATATATATATATATATATATATAAATATATATATATAAATATATATATGAATATATATATATATATATATATATATATATATATATATATATTATATATACATAATGTATACATGTATATACATAACATATATATCACACACACACACACATTCATACGCATATACATATATATACACATATAGATACAAATATATATATCCATACATATACATATACAAGTACATATACACATATATACATATACAAGTATATATATACATACATATACAAATATATATACACATACAAATATATATGCACATACATATACATATACACATACAAATATATATGCACATACATATACATATACACATACAAATATATATGCACATACATATACATATACACATACAAATATATATGCATATACATATACACATACAAATATATATGCACATACATATACATATACATATACAAATATATATGCACATACATATACATATACAAATATATATGCACATACATATACATATACAAATATATATGCATATACATATACAAATATATATGCACATACATATACATATACAAATATATATACATATACAAATATATATACATATACAAATATATATACATATACAAATATATATATATATATATATATATATATATATATATATATATATATATATATATATATATATATTGCAATATTCCATCTTTCATATATATACCTCAGAATATCTGACTTCGGTTTCCACCGAGTGCCCATGGGGAGTGTGTAAAGCCTCGCTATCATTACTCATGAATGAGTAGATAGGTAATGTCTATGGAGCTAGTTAGATCCTAGTTGCACACTCCTTTTAGTGGGTCACGTGGCATGGTTAGTTTAGTACTGACCTAGGTTCGAGGCCAGGTCAGGGAGGATTGTTATATATCTACAATTATATACATAAACATACATATGTGTATATACATATATATTACATATCTGTGTATATACATCAATGTTACATATCTAAACATACTTATATACGCATACACATACATATAGCCCTTTATACATATATTTACATACATGTATATATACGCACATACACACACAATTATATATATACATATACATATATAAATACATATATATGCACTTATACATGCACATACACCCGTGCGCGCGCGATTATTATTAAACATATATATATATATATATATATATATATATATATATATATATATATATATATATATATATATATAAACACACACACACACACACACACACACGTACTTAAATTCAAAGATATATGCATATTCATCCATAAATACACACACGCGAACGCAGAAACTCACGCACACAAGCACACACGCCATGCACGCACACCCACACAAGTATACATGCCGTGCGCGCCCATGAACACGGACACGCGAACCGACGACAGAAATTCGTGTAGGCTAACGTTAACACGCGCGCGCGCTTGCCTCCGCATACCCCGGCATTCTTCCACGCGACCAGGGGTTTTATGCCGTTGGTGAACGACCCGAACTTTCTCTCGAACGCTGACTTAGTCCCCTCTGAGGCTACGACCGACCGACACTCAAGCCTCGGCGCTAACAACCGACTGGTCTGTTACGCGATCCGGTGACGGCGTAACGAGCCACCTCCTGGTCCTCCATGCACTTTCGCGCGCGCGCGCGCGAAGTGTGTGTGTGTGTGTGTGTGTGTGTGTGTGTGTGTGTGTGTGTGTGTGTGTGTGTGTGTGTGTGTGTGTGTGAATGTGCGCGCGTGTGTGTGTAGGTGTGTATATGTGCGCATTCGCAGCCGGGTATTCATAGCTAATTTTCAAAACGCCTAAACTGAACCTCTTTCCGATTAAAACTCAAAGACCAAACATTAAGAATAAGAATTCGTATATCCCTGACTTCTGGACAGCTGTTTTTTGCGCTCTCTCACGACACTCAACGGAACATTACTCTTCTTCACCCTCGCTCTATACAATCCTTCGTGCAGTAGCGTGAGCAAGGGAGGGGGGGGGGGTCACCAGAAAGGGAGGGTTCAGCGGAGGGGAGGGGGGGGGGGGGGTGGCGCGACAAGGAGACAAACAGGTCGTGTTGGTGAGGTGGAGCGCGTCGTCGTAGCAGACATGTGAGCTGGGGGGGAAGGGGGAGAGTGGGAGGGGGAAAGGGGGGAGTTTGACTTAGCAGCAAGCACGAGAAACTCCCCATCTGAAGTCAGGATGGAAGTCACGGGCGCGGAGAGCGTAACGCCTCGTCTACAAGTAGGGGCTACGGACGGAGAGAGGACAAGGAGGGGGGGGTAGGGTATAGGGACGGGGGATAGAGAAGGGGGGGGGAGTCCGAAGCCGGTGGAAGGGTTGAGTCGATGCGAACGAACGAAAACCGGCACCCAAAGACGTTCTCCCGTTCTCCCGTGGACCCCCACTGCTCGTCCCTCACCCGGACTACCATCACCTGCTACGGTTAAGCCACGGGAAAGGACCGATAAGCAGCAGCGCCGGGCCAGCGAGCACGGCTGACAACATCTCCGGGGCCAACAACCTAGATAACAAACGTCCTCCACACTTCCTGACGCCCGCACATCACACGGCGCGTCGTTAGGGTTGGCAGCCCTGCGCCCTCGCTCACAGAACCTCGCCTTAGTGATATAACATGCTACGTGGACCCCAACACAATTACTTCTCAGGCCCTTTTATGCCTCGCTCATTGACTCCTTCGTCAGGACTTCGCACGTGGAGACGAAGCGCCCTTGCATGGAGGGGGGAGGGGGGATTTTTAGACCGTAAGGGACTCCCAAGCCGTTCATAAATGCCAAGCGTTGCCAGCGCCGCACACTAACCAGATTCTTCGGATGAGAATCACGGTGTTCTTCGGCGGAACGCAAATAAGGTTAATGAATTTGGGAAGATCAAGGACCTGTGGCGCGTCGTTAGCCCGCTCCTTCACACCTGCCACCTGCCCCTATCTACTCCTCTGTCATCCCGCTCGCCATACATCTCCCCCCCCCCCACTCCACACGTCATAAAGCTTCCTCCCCACTTTCAAACACTAAGGCAACATCACTGCCATCTCTACCAACAGATTGTCAAGAACGCGCTCGGTTTTGTGCAATAAAAAAAGCTGATGAAATGCAGAAATCGATATTTTTCTCGCGTGCACACGCATCTCTCTCTCTCTCTCTCTCTCTCTCTCTCTCTCTCTCTCTCTCTCTCTCTCTCTCTCTCTCTCTCTCTCTCTCTCTCTCTCTTTCTACTTTATTATTTTACTTTCGCTGCCTTTCTTACTTTACCTCTTTTATTCTTCCTCTTCATCTCCCTCTTTTACTTTGCCTCTCCCATGCTTTCCATTTGTCGTCAATCGACTATAAAACACCTAACACAAAATCCCAAACAAAGAATAGTAATATTTCCCAACTAAACCACAATCTTCCTGCACACAACCCTCCGCAAAGAATATACACAATGTAAAACTCGGCGTAATCTGATATAAATTTCATCAATGCGCTTCAGCAGGAGAGCCGACCGCATGCCTGTTGAGTTGCGGGTAACGTTTGTGCCTCGGCCGCTGTTCCGACGACAAGGAACATCACATCGTATCAGCCCCGGCAGATAAAATGCCGCGGTCTACAGATCCTTCCTCTTTCATACCATTCCCTCCCGAGAAGAAAAGAATATACCTATAAGGAGAAACTATTGATTTTTTCCCTTCATCCCGGGCACTCGGGGAGAGCAGGAGTGGGTCCTGAACAGCCTCCTCGACCACTCCATGTTTCCTCGCCGAGAGAAACCCCGGCTGAAGTACGCGGGAGCACCACCGGCTAAGCCTTCACGGGGACTCCTCCGTTCCGTGCGTTATGCGAGGCGCGCTACAGATAACACGGCCAGCTCGCCAAAGCCCGCTACACTGTGCGTCACCCCGGGCTTCTAGCAGAAGAGCGCGAGGCCACGGGATGGTTGGCAACACTGTCTCCCTGACCTTGACGATGGCAAAGGTTCAGGGTTTAAAAGGCTAAAATCTACCTAGCTCCCCACGCTTTCACCCCCCCTCCCCCTCACCCACCTCCTACCTGCTCCCCTCCCCGCCCCGCCGCCCGTCCCTTCCCCAGCTGACAATGACGTTTTTGACCACAGTTCCTTCCCGCGTGAGCTGGCCGCGCCGAGCGACGTTGATGTGGTGTTGGCTATCAACGTTTTGATCGCTGCCCCTCAACTGCCCGGGGACACCACGCACCGGCACCGCTGCACACGGACACCCTCTGCTTGCACTCAGCTGCTGCTTACACAAATACACTCGATGAGGGAACGAGAACGCTCTCGCTTTCTACACTGCGAATAGGAAATCGCTCAGGAAAGGGAGTCCTACCCTATCAATTCCACTCATCAAACGACATTGAAGAAAAGAAGGACAGCAGTCAATAAGACCAGACCTTTATAACAACTTGTCCTGAAACGAGTCCACTCGAGCCACCCGAGAGAGGTTTCCTCCGAGTGGAAGAGCGAGAGAAGTCACTTCAAAGTGTAGCACCTTGTGTTCCCTTCCCTTTAATACGAGTCAAGTTTCGCCTGGAGGGACAGAAGTCATTTCAGTCTTTTAACGATGTCCCTTAGGTCTTCCGCAATGCAAAAAGTTAATCTTAGACCTCTGGTTGTAGAACTATAATGCCTAGACTACGACGAATGGCGCCTACCAACTTACAAAGTTTTTAGAGATAAATCAAATAAAAGTTTTTTCTTTTTTTGGAAGATTACGAAACAAATTTGAATTCCCTTCATTTGCAAAGGTAAAAGCTTGGAATCGTGTGTCAAACAATGGCCTCGTTAGAGTAAGTGATCCTGTAATTGGTTCTTGACAGATCTCACTTTCCTCTGTCGTTGCTCATTTTAAATCCCCGACTTCAATTGACAATAAAAAGTCTGATAAAAAGAAGCATTCAAATCAGGAGAAATGTTGCGTCTGTTTCCTACGTAGCTGAAAGGGTTTTGCTGAACAAGAGGGTCTACTCACACAGGGACGTGATGGGTATTTGTGTCGTTGTATCCGTCTCCTTCATCGCACGACTCTCCTCCGGAGGACGACTCTGTAGCGTCAGAGTCGTGGTGGGTATGGGCATGGGCAGCAGCCTCCACTTCCGCGCTGACCGCCGCAACTTCAGCGCGCGTGTGCTCCGGCAGCGCCGGCGCGGGCGTCGGCGGGCGGCTGCGAGGGGGCCGGTGGGAGGCAGCCGCAAGCCTGGCCAGCCCTTGGGAAGCTTCAACGCGTCTCACCAGGTTGACCAAGGCTGAGGTAGACATAGTGCGCATGGCGTCGGCTCGGAGCGCCTCCACCCCGACCTCCGGGGTGCTGGTCGGAGCGGGTCCGTCCTCGGAGGCGCTCGTGTGTTCTCGTTGCTTGGCGAGAGCGCCATGGGCGTGGTCCAGCAACTCGCGGAGTTGGCCGGACACGGAGGCGCCCAGGCCGCGGGCCGTGACCCGTCGCAGGCGGCGAAGGAGGCGAATCTGCCGCCGCTCTATCTGCAGGTGGCGGCGGTCCAGCTCGTCCACGAGGAGGTGCGCCCGTTCCTCCTTGGTGACCTGGCGGACCTGGGCCTGCGGGTCGAGCGCCTGGTGCGCCACGCCCTCGCACTGGCCGTGCAGGTCGAGGGCGGCCGTATCCACCGCCGCCAGCACCTCGGGGTTGTCCGCCAGCCGGGTCAGCGTGTCGATGATCTCGTTCATGTTGGCGAAGTCCCGCCCGATGAGCGCCAGGAGGTCGCCGTCCTGGGGCGGCGGGCGCGGGGCCTTGTGGTCGGCGGCGTGGGGCGCCGGCTGGCCAGGGGCGCCCTGCTGCCCCGTGTCCTGACCCATGGCGTTGCTGTCGCAGCAATTGGGGGGTTGACTCGTATCTTCAGTGGGGGCCGTTGCGCCCGATGGTGGGTCCATGGTAGTGTGGGCGGCGTGGGGGCGTGGCGGAGGGTCACAGCCCTCCCGCCCGCACGCCAACCCACCCGCGCCTACAGGCGAGGGCGGCAGAAGGCGGGCGCGACGCGTGCCGTTCGTAAGGGCTGCGGCGAGGTGGGCGTCCGTGCAGTCGTGAGGCTCCTTCAGCCCACCATACTGCAGCGCAAGGTGGGCGGTGGGCGGAGGGCTACTGCGGCTAGACGGAGCCTCGCCAGGGCGAGCAGGAGAGTGGTGGTGGGCAGTCACGTGAAACGTCTGCGGGTCCGACGCTTGAGTAAGGGCGGGGGCCATTACGCCCACCCACTCCCGCGACACACCCGCGCCGCGGTGCTACCTGCCACCCATGGCACCGCCCGCGGCACCTGCCACCCTCGGTTTACACCACCCACATTTTGGTAAGAGAAACACTGCAATGACACAAGTAACACCGTGCACAACACTGGCCACTAGATTTCACTGCGGACGTCACCGCCACGGGCGCTTCCCTCACTCCCAACAACGACCGTAGGAACCACAGCACTCTGAAAAGACAAAAGCAACTTCGCGTCAGTCTCCTTCGTCGCACGGCCCCTTTAGGGAAGGACGGTTCGCTAACAGGGTCAGGCTTACCTAGCTGTAAATAACATGGTAATTATTTAATAAGAAGAAGCTCAAATTTCAACTACGAATCT